TGTGGATGCGTCCTGACAAGTGCAACTGATAGGTTGTCCATGTGTATGTTAGGGACTTACCGTCCCCGTGCTTTCGCTGCGGTTTGCGTTTCCCCTGTCTTTCCGTCGGCCGGCTGCCAAATGCACCATTCCCTCTCGCTCAAGTTTTCGTGCTCTGAGCCCTGTCTCGGGAGGAGCTCACCGAGTTCGATAACCTTATAGCTGTTCTGGAGGCTCAACAGGGCAGCCCCCGACTGCCGCGGTCCCCCCTGCAGGGACGTGGGTCGGAGCGCAACTGGGACCCGCCGTACGACTCCTAGTTCTGGACCCCAATCCCCACAACCGATCCATCTCTTGGAGAGACTACGAGAACTATCTGGCTGTGTTGGTTTGAGCCTGCAATAGGATAGCGAACTACACATCTAGTCTAGTAGATGATGTCTGAATCACACTGTTACTGGTTGAAGCTGCTGCAAAGGTTAGCACTACCATGCAATAAGTCTTAAATTGTATTAGGTGTCTGCTAGAGTCGGAAGGATGGTAGAAATATTTGAGCCATCAGCAAATATACTTACATATAGCTCGAGTGTCGATATACGTAACAGTACACGTACAGTATCAACGGTGAAATCGCGCGTCGGGAGAGGCGAACTAGGATCACAAACGATGGACAGAGGGAGCCAAGGTCAGTGACGTGCCGGCGAATGTAAACATAGCGCGAAGTATGGTGGAGTAAAGGAACGGAGCGGGTAAACGGGAGGACGAGGGATACGTCAGTCCAGTACGGTGACACTAACTACAAACTATAACTCAATGGTGTAAGAAAGCCATCCTCAGCCTCACGCTAAACGCCATACAAGATTGTAAACCGACCCTATAGCCCCCTCCCCACAGAGTTTCACATGCAGATGACTCTCAAACTGTGCAATTTGACCGGCAGCTTCTCTCTTCCTCTCCTATACAACTCTCTTCTTTTTGGTATGACTTTTGCTCTCCTCTTTCTCTGTCTCTTGCAGGGCAGAAAGGAGGTGCTCTAGTCTCCACTCTTCACTCTACAGTCACCATGGAGACCCGTACATCTGCTCCCTCCTCACTAGGATCCTGACAAAGGTTCTAAATAGTGCACCGGCACAAGTAGAATCACAGCTTCTGGGCTAAAAGCTTGCAAGGCTGGTAAGAAATTTTGACTTCTGTGTCGCCGTTTTTCAGCCTGGCCACCCTAGTTTACACGCAAGGTGCTTGTTTAAGTTAGACAGTGAGTCTGTGACACCTATTCCACCTTTGAAAAGAGCTGGCCTGGGTGTAGTTGACTTGTTGCCTGCCTGCCTTCTACACTACTCGCTACCAAGTTGTTCAGACATGCATTAAAACCCCTCGGGCCTTTTACGCAACTTCTGTACCGAAACTCTACCTCGTTTCTTCCACGCTCACTCTCTATACTGTACATTATACATAGGTATACCAGCCACTCAATGCGATCCTGAACTCGTGGATATTTGACGGAGAATTAGTCGACCATTTCTCAGAGTTCATCGTTTCGTGCGACCTCTCGTCGAAGCCGGAGAAACTGTGGAGGTCAAAGTACAAGTTGAGAAAGGCCATGGTTCCTTCTTTCATATCAGAAGATTTGGCAAAGAAAGTGAGTCAATATTGAGTAGTTAGTTTTGGAGGCTCTTAATGAATTGTTCTGTTTGTTTCTCCCTCCTTCCAGATTCTGATAATTGGGAAGTCCATCAATTTCCTTCGGCAGGTGTGTCATGACCACACACCCCTCTGGAGCCCTTCACTTCGTCTCTGGTTCACCACTGAGAGTGGTCAGCTTCTCTTCCTCCCTCCATCCCTCTCTCCCTCCTTCCCTCTCTTCCTTGCTTCTTTCCTCACCAGCTCAGACAACTCTACACACATACATCACCAAACTAACTGACACACACGTACAATAAACTGACAACTGTACATCAACCAACTATAAACTAAACCACCATTGTCTTATCTAGTTGTGTTTGTTGTGCCCTTGCCTTTCTACCTCATAGTTGACACATGCAACACTCATGTTTCGCCACACGTCTTGCCCATTCTCTCGTCTCTCCCCTCCCTCCCTCTCTCCCTCCCTTCCTGTCCAGGGGAGGTAACGTTCTCCTCCATGACTGGATCATCTCTGCAGTCAGTCGTGGCTCAAACCTACACAGAGACCAGCAGACATCTACTCCAAATAATGAACACCAAGTACAGTTTTGGGAAACATCTCCAGGTAATTGCTATAATCAATATTGTTTGACTAAACTCTATAGTTTAGCTGCAGGATGCTATGTGCTTGTAACTGTACCAAAATGCAATGTTTGATAGTATTGTCTAGTTGTTTATGTATATCAGAAAGGTGTTGAAAGGTGTTTTGGTAGCAATTAAATGAGTATCGCTTGTGCAAAACACACTAAATTATAGGCAGTAAATTATGGGGTACACTCTTCAGCACCACACACACACACACACAACCTACCATCTTTTCATACTACATAGGTATTGAAGGCAACATCATGACAATTGAGACACTGGTTTTAAAGTTTAACTGCACGTTTTAGTGTTTATTATCCTTTTCGTGTGACTTTAATATTGTATAGGCTATTCGGAAGTATCTGTTGCTGGGACAAGGGGATCTCATAAGACATCTTATGGACCTTCTGGCGTGAGTGATTACTTTCACTTTCAGTATTGTTGTGAACCTCGTTGTACCCTTGTTACGTACCCCAACACGGACACCCACACGTATAATTAAAGAGTGTGATAATATATCCTCAGTAAATTGACCTTGCGGACTTCCCCTACTTTTTCGTTTGAACCGCAGAGATTATTTTGGGGAGTCCAAATCCTCTAACTAAAGATCACACTGAGGCCATGTGATTGTCAAATGTGTCCTTTATTACACATGCACACGCCACATACACCACACACACCACACACATACAGCCAGAGCTCGTCGAAACCAGCCGTATCTCTCTACCTCCATAACCTCACCGGGACACTAGAGACGGCAATTAGGGCCACCAATGCCCAGTTTGAGGACCCGGACATCTTGAAACGTCTCGACGTTCAGAAACTGGAACCGAGTCTGCAGGATCAGGGCTGGGACGTGTTCTCTCTACAGTACCACGTGGACGGCCCCATCAGCACTGTATGTGTACTACTTTCACCATACATATAGTATTACTATTGCATTAGCATACATAACTACTCTCACCATTACATTGTGTAACACTCACCTACTTCAGTGAGTGAGAACCCTGTCGTAGTGATCTACAATCTTCAGTGCGCTTTCTACTAAAAGTTTAAAAAGTGCCATAAATGAATGTACCAGTTTTTTACTGCATACAATACTGTCTCCTGAATCCCCCCCACAGGTGTTCACAGCGGAGAACATGCTGACGTATCTGAAGGTGTTCAACTTTCTCTGGAGAGCTAAACGAGTCCAGTACTACCTTTCTCACGTCTGGAACGAACAGACGGCCCACTATCGGTCACTTCAGTCCATACCCGGTACGTCCATTCCCCATTCTGTCATACACCAATTCCTGTTCCTCCAAGATTATTGTACATACCTGTTCTTCCATACCTGATGTACAACCAACATGTGTTTTTCATGCAGTGGTTCTTGTTCTTTTCACAACGGTTCTTGTTTTCCCATGTGTTCATTCCCATACCTCTATACACTGATTCCAGTCCTACGTAAACTGATTCCCATTCAGTCATTCCCCTACTTCCATTAAGTGATTCCCATTCTTCCATTCGCTCTTCCCATACTTCCATAAACTGATTCCCATTCTTCCATTCAGTCATTCCCCTACTTCCATAAAGTGATTCCCATTCTTTCATTCACTCATTCCCATACGTCCATAAACTGATTCCCATTCTTCCATTCACTCGTTCCCATACCTCTAGATTCCCATTCCTCTATACACTGATTGTCATTTCTCAATTCAAATTCCTGTGGTTGATGTCATTGTGCCGTCTCCCCTGTTCACCTAGAGCTGCATCCAGTAGTACACCAGTGCCACCTGCTGATATCAGCCATGGTTCACTTCATCTCCCAACTCCAGTACTACATCAACTTTTGAGGTGCGGATATCACACTGCGTACATGTATAACAACTTATACCAAATGTGGTTGACTGTGAGCAGGTTCAAATCATAATACTTCCCCTTCTGTTGCAACTGTCTTACATACAGTTAGATGCATATTGTAACAGTGTGTATTGGCAGGTGATGGAGTGTAACTGGGACAGTCTACTGAAGAAAGTTAGAGAAGCAGAAGACTTGGATCAGATCATCTCCGCACACGACACGTTTCTCCAGCAAATCACCTCGCAGAGTCTTCTCAACACTGACGGACAGGTAAACCGTGATCGAGGTCTTAGCGGCGCCAGCTTGCACCACGAGGAATGGTCGATAAACTGTATGTAGGTGAGATGGTGCCTTCCTGCATGTATAACATGGACGATTGAGAATAGGTAATGCATAGTACTGCCTTAGGGAAGAAAATCGCCCTCAATTTTACTCTAAAAATACACATCTAGTTCACACGGTTCTTTATCTCTCTTTCTCTTTCCCCAGCCACTGCTGAGTCTGCTGAGGATGCTATTTGATCTGATCATATCGTTCAGAGAGAAGCAGACATCGATGTTGGCCACAGCCCTGGGGGAGGTGGAAAGACGTAGGGACTGGGACCTCCAGAGCCTCTCCAGAGAAAGACAGGTATATATACAGTAGAACCTCCGAACAAGGGACACTATGGGGCCAACGATTTTGTCCCTTGTAGAGAGGTCATCCCTATCTCGGACGTCAAATAATACACTAAAGTATTAGTTGACACACTTTGCTTTGTACAGAGGTCATCCCTGTCTTGGAGGTCAAATAATACACTAAAGTATTAGTTGACACAGTGTGCTTTGTAGAGCGGTCGTCTATCTCGGAGGGTGCCTTATTGGAGGTATAATTATACCACTGTATACTGTCAACACCATCTCGAAGTTTCGTTTTTTGTGTAATTTGCGTGACGCAAATCTTTTATCCCTCTCCTGTCTGTCTCCAAGACAAGCTATAGGAGTGAGCGTGGATGAAGGGAGTAGTATGTGTATGAAGATGAAGGTTACCCGTGTAATTGGCCAGTGAAATACCCTGTAATTATGTGGCTATGCTTGTTTATGTGTGTAGGGAGTGTGGGGAGTGAGGGAGAAAGAGGAGGAGGGGGAGATGGAGATGAGAGCCAGTTTTGCCGAGGAAACTGTCCCGAAGCTTCACTCGGAGTTTGCCGTCCTCTACGACCTCTTCAAGGTCAGGTGTTTGCTTCCTGTCTTGTGCTGATTGATACATGTATGTATCTACAGGACAAGGTGGTGGATTTCATGCACAAGTTGACGGCCCACTCAGAGCAGAAGCTGCGCTTTCTCTGTTTCCGACTGGACTTCAACGAATTCTACAGCTCCAGTTCCAGTGAACTCCGTAGCACGTCCTTCATCAGGAAGATGAAATAGAAACTCTATTGTTTCATGTGCGCATGCAGTGAGTGTTGATGTGTATAATGTGTCTGTCTATTGTATTATATATATGTCCTATCTTTATGTCGTGTGTACAATTATATTTTGGTAACAGTGCTATTAAAGATCATATTGCACGGGGCAATGTATTAGAGGCAAACAATGGTCAAGGAACCCCCGGTGGGATTGTCGGGCCGGGCCGGGCGTGCGCACAAACTTGTGGGACAAATACGCATGCGCGGTCGATCGCGCAGCGTAGGACGTACGACTGCGACTCTGCGAGCGAACGACGGAGGGATGGCTGGATCTGGCGACATCAGCAGCCTGAGCGAATCAAGTAAGTAAAGTAACATTTACGACTGCTACTTGCACGGTAATGTGGTAGTAAGTATATACCGTACAGTGTGTGTGTGGCGTTGTGGCGTTTCGTTGGAAAACGGGTTAGCTACTACCGTATAGTAAGATGCAGATGTTAGCTAGTATTCTGCAGCTTCTTACTGAGCGTTGGCGCTCGACAAAAAGGAGGAAAAGCTAGGAGAACGATAGTAGTATGATTGGCTAATGTTTCGCTCCAAGCATTCACCTCAGAGGACGATTATGTGTTGTATTGTGATGATGTTTACATTGTTTCCAGTCTATTATACCTAGGCTAGTAACGTGTGTCGGTGTCCGTTATTGTGCGAATGATGATGTGGCCCAAGTGGCAGCTAAACACCGACGCCCTATGAACACGGTCTCAATCGCATTCCTGCATGTGCAAACATTGCTCTTAGTTGAAAGAATCTCGACGTTTGTAGCACAGCATTACAGTACAGATGGGTGGACTGGTCCTTCGCGCATTGAAAATGTCGCAGGTCAACTGTTTGTGAGGCTAAATTAATGCTTGTATTATAAACGCATCTATTCCTCTCTCTGCCAAAAAATTCCATTTGCATTAAGCTGTTGTTTACAACACATCAACTCTATATTATAGCTCCTCGCTTCACTCCAAGACTGGACTTCTCTACTAACAGTGAAGGAGGAGGAGGAGGAGGAGGAGGCCTCACTGGGCACCAACAGGTGGTCATCTCTGCCACCATATCCTCCGCCGTCCTGCTGACTCTACTGGCAGTGTTGGTTGTGGCTCTCGTGAAACTGGTGCAGTTTATCCGAACATCCATGACTTTCAAGTCAGTATAGTATATGAAGGGGTCAGAGTCAGAGTGAGCCAACCCTCAATAATTATTATACAACTCTTGCCGGTTTTTGTTCCATAAGGAGATTAATACAAGGAAAACCGGCAAGAGTTGTATATTGAGGGTTGGCTCACTCTGACTCTGACCCCTTCAATTATAATATTATATAGCCCTCCATGAATACAGTAGTGCATTATAGTAACTACATACTTATACAAGCTGTATATACTAAGCGTCCAAGGGCTCCCTCTGTTAATGAAATTCCTATACTTAAGAGTGGGTGGGGAGCTCACTACATATGCCACCTACATGTATGGCAAGATTACATGCACATTAAGGATATAAACACTCATCACCAGCTCATGTATGGTGTTACTAACATGCACGTCACTGGGTTAAGGGCATACACACACACACACTCCGTTACTCAATAATGTGCGTTGTGAGCATAAACAGAGCTCATGTCCCCCCTACCATATGCGCTAAACATACATTCACCTACACTCGGTAAGGGGCACACATCATGTAAAGCCAAAACAAACCCACCTTGTGTATATACCCCCTACTTTACCGCCGCCTTTGTTGGTTTGTGTACAAGTTGAAAGTTTTTGTCATCAAAACTTGTACACAATTACATGAATGCAAAACAGAAAAATGTGTCCAATAACTCTTTCTTCCTTTCTCCTTCCTCTGCTCTTTCCGTTCTCCCTCCCTCTCTCCTTCCGTTCTCCTTCCCTCCCTCCCTCCTTGGTCACCCAGAAAGTTCATGGCTGATGCATCACAAGCAGAATTCTCCCGAGACGGAAACCCTCTCTACCACCCAAACCACACCCCCATAAAGCTCCCCGCCCACATTATGGACGGTGATCTAGACATTAAGATTCCGGAATATTCTACAAACCACTTGCGAGATGAAGGAAATACAACTTTGCCAGGCCCCTCTTCTCAAACCCAGACAGAGGCATGTCCCGTTCCCAATTCCACTGGAACCGGAATAAGACCACATGAGAATGGAATCCGTGAAGAACCGACATTAAAGAGTGGTGATGAAGCTCAAGGAAACGGGATCAGAGAAAGCAGCACTGTGCGTGGAATGGAAAAGCCGAAACTTTCGAATGTTAACATTCAAGCATCATCAGTAATAGAAACTAGAACAAAGCAGTAAAGCAACTCTGGCATTTTGTGTGTTTACATTTACGAAATTTTTATACTGCCAATCGGCATTTCAAATCAAATGTGTTGTCGATGGTATCATACACTACACAATACTGTGGGGAAAAGTTGCGACAACAGCATGATGTCAAAATTTTGTTTGACAGGTGGAATACACTCGTGGTTATGTAACATATTATCAGTTGTAGAGAAAATCAAGTTTTCAGTGTGCTCACAGCATTATACATCTATTTCGTGTTATTTCGACTCAGCAGGTAGTACACAGCTAAAAGGAAGGCGTGGCATTTGTTGTTTACTGAGAAGACAAACGTGGAAAACTGCAGGGTTTACGGTTTACTTGGGGTTAACGGGTTTAATCATAATCTGCTAAAGTGTCCAAATCAGGCAGGGATCTACAGTAATAGAGGCAGTGCACGGGTGGTGTTTCAGAGACGGCCCCGGCTTGTTGCTAAGGCTCCGTTGTGACGGGGGTGTGGCTGTCCCCAGCCGAGGCAGAGTTGGCCGTGGTGTTGTTGCTGGTTGCCGGGTTACGATTTCTGCCTCTTCCTCGCTCGGAACGTTGCGGCTTGGGGGCGGGGCCTGGGGGGAAGTAAGCAATTGGAACTCTTAAACTCAGCAACTTTTAAAGTGCACAATAGTATGTGAGTGTACTAAATTTTTTGGGTTTTATTGTGCAGTGTGCAGTAACTCTTATTACACTAAGTTCCCGCAGTGCTATTTCCCCACTTAACCTGCACACACGTTTTAAAAACTAGTACGCTTCAACTGGATTGAATACTAAATCTCTGAAAACTACATGCATTAGATGGTGCTTTATGGAACATCCTTGCTGCACTCGAAACGCTGAAGTGCAAATAGTTCAGGCTTCTAGTGTTGACTTCACGAACTTGCTGTCTAACTATTAGTTCACCTCTGGCCAGTTGCCGTGGCGTCTCCATCGGTTCTCGTCGTCTCCTCGCTGCCCCAGTCAGTACTAGCAGCTGCCACGCCCTCCTCTCTGTTCTGAGACTGCTGCTGCGGCCGAGAGCTCCGATACCCCCCCACCTCCTCCCCTCCCCCTCCCTCCCCGTCCTCTCCATCTTCCCCGGCTGTACCCTCCTCTCCCCCTCCCTCTCCCCCCTCCCCCTCCTCCTCCTCCTCTTTGCTGCTGGCGAGGTGGACCTTGCTGCCGCCTCCGGTCCGGTCCCTGCTCCTCCGACTCTGGTGGGCTCTAAATAGAACATCACGACACAAACTTTTTCTTCTATACATGTGTGCAGAAATGTCCTTGCCTTACAAATTAATGTGCCTCAACTATGGCAGCATATTATGTACATATAAGGGTTGAAACTATCACTAAAAAAAGGAAACCTATTCTTGGACTGGGTCTCATTGTTAGACTGTCACGTTCAAAATAAGTGGGAGTTTTGTTCACTTGCCTTTTCGCCATCACTGTGATCTTGGCCGTTCCTCTGTTCCACCTCCTCTTCCTCCTCCTCCTCAACGGAGTTTGACTCCTCCGACGATTGGTATATCTCGTCTTCATTGCCAGCGGCAACCGTGTCTTGAGTGGGGGCGGAGGAATGGGTGTGGTCAGCATACCTGTACATCCGCAACAAAGAAATTCCACACTTGAAGAATCAAACCGTAGCAGGAGGGGTTTTTGCACATTGTCTACTGCCTAAAACAAAGTTGCAAATAAGTGGTCTTCTATAATCAGTTGATTTTACACTGTTGAAGTGACCACTACCGCTTGCCTAAGGGTGTGACTACTAAAGTCACTTTGACTTCACCCGAGTCCTCGAAAATTGTCACAACTCCTTTATTTTACATCCAATTGTAAAATCGCTAACACCATTGGAGTCCTCGCAACTTTCCCGTTCTGATGATTTGCTTTACTACACCTTATCAGTCGAAAGTTATCAGTATGTCCCGTAATAAAAGTATGCCATAAGTAAAGTACATGAGGTACCTGTATAATGTTTTACAACACAACTCCCTTTTTATCAGGTACAACGACCTTACCCTGATTCTGATGTATGTCGTTCTTCTTCGTCTCTTTTCCTCCCAAAATCTCTTCCCCTCTCTCTCCACCTTCCTCCCCCTCTCCCCCCTCCTTCCCTCTCTCCCCAATTTCCCCTCCCTCCCCAATTTCCCCTTTCCTCACCTCCCCTCCCTCCCCACTGCTCCACTCCCCTCCCTCTCTCCTCTCCCCACCTCTCCACTCCCCTTCCTCCCCAGCTCTCCCCTCCTCTCCCTCTCTCCTCCCCTCCCCTTCCTCCCCAGCTCTCCACTCCGCCTCTTCTTCCTCCCCAGCTCTCCCCAGCTCTCCCTCTCTCCTCCCCTCCCCTTCCTCCCCAGCTCTCCACTCCCCTCCCTCTCTCCTCTCCCCCTCTCCTTCCTCCTCTCCGGAATGGCCTGTGAGGTGCAGGGTAGTACGTCGGTGGCTCATCAGTTGATTGGGCGTCAAACTCCCGCGACTGAAGTATTGTCTCCAAATTCTGTGCAAAATTACACGGCGAATGATATTCCGTGCAAAATTACACGGCGAATGATATTCCGTGCAAAATTACACGGCGAATGATATTCTGTGTAAAATTACATGGCGAATGATTACAATGTAATTGCAAACATACATACATTCATTTCCACCATTTTGACTCTTACTGTACATTACATCCCAACCCAGGAGACACCTATATATTCCAGCTAACCTTCAAGTGGTCCAGATGGTACTCCACTCCCTCCCTCTCCCCTCCCCTCCCCTCCCCTCCCCCCCTCTCTCCTCCAGCTAACCTTCAAGTGGTCCAGATGGTACTCCAACATGAGCACTGCATTCTCCACTGCAGCTTTTCGACCAATGAAGTCAAACGGAACCTCAGAAGAAGGAGAAGACTCGGAAGAGGAGGAGGCACTTTCTTTGCTGGAGGATTCGTCGTCGCCAAGGACACGGATGTTATTAACTCCAGATTTTTCCAGAATTTCTTGAATCACGTGACCTCTTTTGCCTATCACTCTGCCTGTGGATATAGATATGGAGGAGGGGGCACTGTATAATTGTTAGACAATGAGTCTGTGGATTTTACGCACGTTAGAAGCCCCGAGGGTCCTTGTGTTGTAGTGAGACGCTACATGAAGAGCCTGAGGGCGTCTAACGCTTGCAGATTTCAATGGACAAGATGCGTAACATACATAGTACGTACTCTAATTGATGCACACTTGTTTCTACATACGTGTGCACAGGTTGCGCAGGGAAACGGCACCGCGGGCACTTGGTGAACTCCGAGATTTTTTTAATAAACACGTTTTCTTGCACGAGTGTGTACTTAAAATCTTGGCTAGAAACACACCCACAAAGTAATGGTTTTAACAACTGAGATGACAAATCAGCCCAACATGCAACTCACCAGCGAGGTTCTTTGGGATCATGACTGTCTTTCTGACAATCTCCAGCAGCTCCTTTGCCTTCGTTAGCACCTCTGGAGTCTGCGTATCAGTATACAGGGGGTTAAAACTGGAATTGAAATTGTGATATGAGTATACCGTGTCATAAACTACTAACATACTACTACCTTATTCTTTCTGTTACGTGTACATGTCACAACAACCACAGATTGGGCAAAGGCAAAGGAAACAAAAGTCAACTGCACCCAGGACAACTTTTCATCTCACAAGAACTGCCCTGGGTGGGATTCGAACCCACGAAACACCCTGCACTCAAGGTGAGCGCTCTACCATCTTAGAACTGGGTAACCGTGGCGTCCAAATTATACATTTTCGTGCAGCTGCTATAAAAAATTTGATGTGACCGCCAAATTTTACACCCAGTGTCGGACCGAACGTAACCGACCTTGGCTCTCACTCTGAACATCTGATTGTAGTCCTCAAACTCGACCGACAGGATTCCGTCCAGTTTCCGGACCTCGTTCACGTTGTGCCCGTCGCGACCGATGGCCAGTCCGACCAGGTCGCTGACCACATGTATCTGCTGCTCGTATACTCCGGAGTCCAGCTGCCTTCGCTGCTGCTGATGTTCCTGGGAGAGTGGAGGGAGAGAACAATTGAATAATTGCGAGTGCAGCACTTTTGTGAGTGCTGGCACAGACAGCTTTCTTTAACAGGTTACCTCAGATTAATATTATATGCACATCTCACTCCCGATTACTGTTCAGATGACTACTGAGCGATATGGCAGCTACTGCATTCTTAAAAGGTAATGTGGCAGTAATAAGGGCTACATGTTAAAACTGATACTGATTTCTTGCACTGGGCCCTATTGTTTAGTTCTATATTTAGCCCTTATGCCTTTAGTGGCAGAAGAGAGAGGGAAGAAAGAAGGAGAGAGCAAAACAAAGAAACTTCTTTCACTGTTTAGAAGGTAGACGCAAACACATATTCATGCACCACTATGTTTGGAAAATAAGATAGCAGTATTTCATTCTGCGTCGTCATTAGTCAATCAAACAGTAGGGAGGTTAGAAGAAGGTGAAAAAATGAGGGACTAACCCTTTGTGCAACGGCATCGGCTCTATCCATGAGTTGCTTGTGGGTCCTCAGGTCTCTCAGATGCATGTCTATCAGTAGAGACGCTTTGTCCATCGACTCTTCACTGCTGGCCTGAACGACACACGCACGCACGCACACGGACACACGCACGCACGCACATGGACACACGCACACGGACACACACACAAGGAGGAAAATATTCAGGTAGTAGTTAAGACTGGGTCAACAGCAGGCGAATTCACTGCACTATTACCGAACAAACACACAAGTACGCTATGCTTCTACGTACGTGTAGAATTAACCATTAATAATTGAAGGAACATTTTTTCACAGACTAGAGGCTTGATACCTATTATTGGCAAATGATTTATTTGTGGGGACGACACGTTGCAATATTTTTCTTTTCGTAAACTGTGCCCTCCTTCCCTCCCTTCTTTCTATATTTACATACCTGGACCACAAGGCTCCCTTTGTCCATGGAGTAATGGACACACACAGCGCCGATCCTCTTGCGAAAGTTTTCATGAATGGCTGGTTTATCACAGCTGTTGCGACGGAGGAAGAGAGGGAGGAAGAGAGGGAGGGAGGGAGGGAGGAAGAGAGGGAGGGAGGGAGAGAGGGAGGGAGAGAGGGAGAGAGGGAGGAAGAGAGAGGAGGAGGAGGGAGGAAGAGAGGGAGGAAAGAGAGGGAGGAAGAGAGGGAGGAGGGAGAGGAGTGATAGAAAAATTGAAAGAACATTGGTATTCCCTCCTCTACAACGCTTGATTTCATTTTATAAAGAAGTGCTTCTTTTTAGCTTGGTTTGGTAAAATAAAATGTACAACTATTTCATTGAAGAGAACTATAAAAAAAAAAAAACTTAAGTTATAACTTCCACTGATGCACCTACAAAAAATGCAAACTCGTTCACACCCTCAAATAGGAATAAGTGCAGGAAGATAGATTAAGAAGTTCCAATGACTTACAATGACTGGAGATCTTCTGGTACGGAATATTCCCGACTGACAAACTGACATTTGGATAGCGGCTCTCTACATGTGCACACAGACAGTACACAGACAGTACTCAGTGGTGAAACTGAAGCTCTGTTAGGAAATGCTGTAGATTAGCTCACTTGTTGTTGGGTGGTCTTATCTTGTCCTGGTCAACAATGTCTTGGTATTTCTCGTTGCCTGATTGGAATTCCACCACATGTAGCTGCATGTGTATTTACAGCTCACTGAATTTAGTCTCTTCTAAATCTCGTAGGAGCTTTTCCGTTTACTTATGTAGCTACAGATTTTTTGCACTTAGTCTGCTTTTGATAGATTGGTTTGAGGCCAGTTTTACGGGTTTGTACCTCTCCTTTGGACTTGAGAAGTGTTCCGTTCCACCATCCTGGAGGCTCGTTGTCCTGGTGGGGAAGGAGAGCCTGGGGAGGAGGGGGAGGAGGGAGGGAGGGCTATGTTCATTGTCTCTAGTAAAGCCAAAGCAAACTCATGAATAGTCCTACTGGGAAGTCCTGTTTACTCAGTCAGTAGGTATGCTGGACAACCCCCCTAGACATTAGATACAGGCCCTCAGCTATAGATAGCGTGTCACACAACAATCCTCTGGTGTGCCCCGTTTCTTGGTGGTAGAGTAGCGCTCAGGCTGTGATTATTGGTATTTCTCTGAATTTCTGTGATTATCGACATTTCTCTGAACTTTGAAACTCTCTCCCTTGTATTACTATTGTACTTTCTTGCCCTTTCCCTCTCCCTCCATCTTCTTTCTTTCTTCCCACTGAATCTACATTGACGCGTCGTCCACGCGCACGTGCACGCAGGGAAAGAAGGCGGAGTCATTACCGCGCATCTTTTCTGCCACTTCGCTCTTGCTCTGCATTTTCTGGTGCTCTGAGCCTGTCTCCATCGAGTCATAGTTAGAAGCGCTCCGCCATACAAACGAACAGGAAAGCCAGAGTGCTCAACGTGAAGCACTCACTCTAAAATAGTTAGACGCTGATTCCTCAGTAACCACGCGCCAGTAGAAAGCCTCGTGCCCCGGGGGTAGCGTCCTCGCTGCGTTCGTGGTGCCACAATGCCGGGGCTCTCGGTTTTCTGCTGCGCGTAGTTACCTCGAATCAGCGTCTAACTATTGTACTTTCTCTCTCAATCATTTACCCTCTCACTCTCTCTCCCTCCTCTTCTTTCTTTTTATTCCAACTCTCTTTTGCTCTGATTTCCCTTCGTTCTTCCTCTTTTCCTCACTCTCCTTCTCCATGCTGGTATTCAGTAGCACATGGTAACATTTACACAAACGTACCTCCACTTTTGAGCCTGGTTGGATGAAACTGCTGGTTGGAATGTCTGGGAGAAAGCGGATGTGATCCAGTTCGGCCCATGAGTCCGTTTTCCAGCTGTTTCAGCAAGGAAGTGAGGGGAAAGGGGAGGAGAGGGGAAAGGGAGGAAGAGAGAGGGTGCAAGCGAGAGAAAGAGAAGAAGAGGGAGAGAGGGAAAAGAGAGAGGGGAAGAGATTATGAAAATCTCAACAGTATATACTAGCAGAACTTAGCCACAGGCCATACACAAACCAAAAACATGTGCACAACCTGTTGTAGGAACAAACTTCCATTAGAGAGAGACACAAATTGACAAACACCAGTGCTGTACACTGCGTATCCCCACACAGTAGCAGAGAATAGCGGTACATGTGATTATACAGGTATACAATGAAGTCAAGGCAGTCAAGGGCACAGGCACACAAACCACCCCATACTCTACTGCACTCTCCTGAGGCATGAAAGGGAAGGCGAAGAGTGGTGGAAAACGGGTCTTACTTGTCTTCGAAGGAGAGGAGGGCCTTCTGTTCTTCCACCTGCAAATCCACAATGGTAGCCTGCGGAAGGATTGGATAGGAGGCGTGCCAACGTGTACACTCAAGCCTCGGTCACTCAATGAAAATACCACCCTAGCAAAGCTCGACTGGCTGCCACCCCGCGCTCACCTTATAGAAAGCCCCACAGATCTGCGGAAACACCACTTCTACCTCC